CTACAGGTGTGAGAACGTCACTGCAGGTGAGAGGACTTCACTGCAGGTGAGGGGATTTCACTACAGGTGGGAGGACTTCACTGCAGGTGACAGAGGGGCCTCAAACCAGAACAAAACCAAGAGCATGTGTTCAAGGACCACCCGCCACCGCCCATCCTGTCTAGCCCACCACACCCAGCGGCGTACGGAGCCCCTGGCATCCATACACAGGCCCCCTCCCCCGGACTGCACATGGCCGTGGGCCCGCCCAGGGCTGCGCGTGGCTCAGGTGGGTGTGGGCTCAGCGCCCCCTGGTGGCTGGTCTGCGCACAGCTCGCAGGCTCACCGAGTACAGGGAGGACACGGCACTGTTGAGGAGGTCGCCGTCTCTCCTGGGCGGTGGCACCGTGTGGCCAAACCCCACGTAGCGGTTCTCCTGGGCCCTGGGAGTGAAGCAGACACGGCAGCTGCCGGCACAGTCCTGCTGAGCCTGGGGACGTGGGTGCCAAAGGCGCCAACCCCGCCCGCAGGACAGGGCCTCGTGGTTCCCTTCGGTGGTTCAGGAAGAAGCGTCTCTACGGCCCCTAACCGAGCCTCCCCAGCCAACCCCAAAGCAAGCGCCCAGCTGCCGAAGAAGTTTACTCTGAAGCTTCGAGGATGGGGGAAACTTCATCTTCTACACCCAAGACCCTCAAGTGCAGGCTGGTCTGGGGCTTCCCATGTCAGAGTTGCTAACAGGCGCCTGGCCTTTCCCTGCCCACGGAGTCACACCCGCAGCACACCCCCTCAGCGGGGGAACCACACCTCTCACGCCAGGCAGCACACCCCCCCCAGGCTCCCCAGAGGCCTCACCCCTGGTAGGACCCGAGGTCGTCGTTCAGCCAGTCCTCGAAAGCCTTGTCGGAGGAGGCGGTCACGCTCTGGGGCTGGCCAGCGGCTCTGAAACCCAGAGGCAAGGTCAGTGTGGCCAGTGCCCAGCCGTGGTTACAGCCAGCCCAGCCGCGTGGCCGGAGCCACATGGTCGCCTCCAAAGATGCCACCGTGTCCCATCGGGCCTCCCAAGACACCAGCAACGAGCCAACCCGCCTGCCCGTGTGCCCACAAGGTGGCTCAGGCCCGTCGCTGATGCCGGTCAGGAAGGGAGCTCAGACCTGTGGCTGAGCACAAACCAAACGGAGGAAGCGTGACAGGCTGCCGCGCCCGCGCCATCTGCAGGGACCCGAGGGAAGGAGACCATGGGCACAGCGGCAGGCGTGGCCCGCAGACCAGACGGCCGCGTGACACCAACCACCAGGGGCAGCCAGAACGCGGGGCCCTCGGTTCTGAGCAGAGCAGCCAAACGAGCCAACGAGCAGCAGGAGGCTCAAGGCTCCCACACCTGCACAGGGACCGTCTTGGACGCAGGCCCTCGCGGAGCCTGCGCTCCAACGTGCGGTGGGCTCACACAGGCGTCCCCGCAGCATAACACACGGTGTGTGCCAGCCAGTGGGGTTCGTAACCCCAGCACGCCACCTCCGTGACAGAAAACAGTGACCACGTGAACAGACGGAGACACGGGATGGCACGGCCGTCCGTGGCTTCACTCTGAAAACAGCCGCGCGTGTCGTGCGCACGCCTGACGGGCACACTGAGCCCCCTGAGGAAATACCGTTTGTTCTAGAAATGTCTCACTGCTCTGATTCTTACTAAGAGCTCGTGTTATCTCTGCACCTTTAAAACGCTGCTTCCCCCAACTTAAAATCAGCTCACAGCTGGAACTCTGCCAGCAGGGCGGAAGGTGAGCTTCCCGGGGACTGAGCTGAGCTACGCGGCTGGTCGGGACGGGTCACCCGTCACAGAGCGGTAGCTACCGGTGGGCGGTGGGCAGTGGTGTCTTCGGCTGTGGCGGGTTCCAGGTCTGGGCAGGCGACAACTCCAAGGACCATTCTTTGCCTTCAGCCAGAGTAGCCACCTGAGGGGACACCAGAGGGGTCAGAGCAGGGAACTGGTGCCGTAACGCCCCCCACCGCAGGCCAAGCACACGGCACCCAGCTATCCGCAGCCCCTGTGGCGACGGGCTCGGCTCCACATGCCAAGTGCAGCACCGCGCCCTCCCACCCCGGCTGCACTAACAACAGCAGGGCTCCCACCTCTGCCCCCTGAACGCTGGGCCTTATGGGAGCATTCTCCCCGATGGGTCAGAGGAGCCTGAGGCTGCAGCTCCCCCCTCTACCTCTCCCTGCAGATGGGAAAGAAAGCCTGCCTCCCATCCCTGTTAGCCACAAGCCACTTGCATCCTCTGTGGGAGGAAAACTCTACTCTAAATAAGAAGAGGGCCACAGCCCGCCCGGGAGGTCCTCTCTGCACACGGCCTGCCCGGGAGGTCCTCCTCCCTGCGCGCGGCCCGCCCGGGAGGGCCTCCCCCCGCACTCGGACCACCCGGGAAGTCCTTTCCCCACACGCGGCCCACCTGGGAGGTCCTCCTCCCAACACGCGGCCCGCCCAGGAGGTCCTCCTCTGCACACAGCCCGCCCGGGAGGTCCTCTCTGCACACGGCCCGCCCGGGAGGTCCTCTCTGCATGCAGGCTGTGCTGATCTCTAGGTGGGTCAGCCCTAGCCAAGCAAAGCACCCTGACGCCTAGACCCAGGGGCCCAGCCCATGGCTCACCTTGTCCCTGAAGAGTGCTGCGGCCTTGCTGTTGTATTTCTCCTGTAACGACCAACAGGGATTGTAATCCTCCTGGGATTCCAGGAATTCTCGGAATTTAGCATTTCCACCAGCTCTCATCTTCTCGAGTTCAATGTCCTTCCACTTGTCCATAGTAACCGAGCGCACAAAGCTACAAACCGAGGTATTGATCGAATGAAGACGTAGTGGACACACCCAACAACCCTCCTGTCCCAGATCTGGCTCAGGCGGTCCCCGTGACAGACGCTAGGGCCAGGAGGGGCCCCAGAAGCTCTGTGAGGTTGGGCTGACCACTGGCTGCAGTACAGACGGGGCCCCGCGGGCCAACCGTGAGCAGGCCGGGCTGACCACTGGCTGCAGTACAGACGGGGCCCCGCG